ATTATTATTGCGCATGTCTAGTAAGGGGCTATTGCACATATATTCACATTTTGGTATTTGCCATCATTCTTACTCTGGCAGGGAAAAAGCTGTTGTAAAGTCTTGTTCTGTTTGTGATGGTACTGTTCGCCCTGCTGTGCCTGAGGTTGTAGGTGCAGTTTTTGTGTCTGGGCAAGGAGTGAGCTGGGTGGCGTGGATCCCTGATTTTGTTCTCTGCCCTTTTATACCTGTTTATATTTTGGAAAAATACAAATATTGCCCTTCACCTCTAGTGGGAGAATTGTAAAGAGGGAGAGATGGAAATGTAAAACAGCAGAGGTAGTCTTTTTATGTCTGTGTATGCTGTCAATTACAGTTCTTAGAAAGGAAGAAAATCAGAATCGACAGGTCAGACTAAAAAAAAATAAAAAAATCAGAAAAGGCGCAGAAAGTTGCAATTCGTGCATCTCTATATACAGTCCACGCATGTCTCATCAGGAAGGTCTTAAGGCAGTTTAAAACTGTTTATAAAATAATGGCTCTACTTCCACCTCCTTAAACAGGGGCCTCTGGCTACGTTCACATTATCTACTGAAGTGACTCAAATCTGAATTTTGTTTTTCTCTCCAAGTGACTAAGATCAGATTTTTTTGTGGAAATGTAATAAAGCCAAATCAGATTTTCTTTATCCACATCAGATTAGGGCAACTTTCGTATGTGGTGCTAGATCCAACTCATCTTGGCTGCTGTCAGAAAAGTCACCTCAGAATTCATGATTTTTTTTTTTTTACATCTCATTCCTCTGCACATGGCCATGTTGCCTGTTGTAATCATTCAGGGTCAGCCCCTTAGATCAGATCAGTAAAAATAAACATGGAGAAGAGCAACAGCAGTGACAGGAGTCAGTGGAGAGACAGATTGATGAACATTTGTGGAGAAAATTCTGATTGCGCTAAACTAGAAGGAACTTAGTGTAACCAAACAGTGTTTCAGAGAATAAGGAATGTGAAGTTGTCATCATGCCATGTTGAATTTTCATTAAATCCACCATTCTGGGGCATCACACTCATTAACCATCACTGAGATATACAATAGATACCTACATCTACTGTATAAGTTAATTTTAAAAATAAGTGCTACCCCATACAGTTGTATACAGCAGCGGATGTTTCAACTATGTCCAATCCAGTTATGTCGTGCTATTTGATGAAGTACTGGAGCGCATCTATGGGGCGCATTCATGCACAGTTGTGACCTGTTTCGAGGGTCATGTAAACATTTTTCATATGGTGGCAACTCTAGCTGATCAAATGTTAGACTGAATTTGTAGCTATTTGTCACAGGATGAATGTTATAGCCAAAGATAATCTTATTACTAGGGCCATGGGGGACCAGCTAGGGGACAGGTCCCACCCAAAATGCGTTCCACCCCACATTTTTCCCTCTGTGGCCCTAATATTCTATCATTTTATATATAGCCTTATAGTCTATGGGAAACTGTAAATTATCTAATGATAGCAACATCATCTAAAAGTCATCATTTATCCAAAATGATTGAAATTAATGATCACAAACGTTTAAACAATGACAGTGGGTCTAATTATATGTGATAACAATGTATAGTGTGCAGTGAAATAACTATTGGTTTCCGTTTGTGGTGACTGCTGACTGACATGAGGGATGAGATTAAATAAATCCTGGAACTTAGCCTGGTCTGGAGCAGGCTAGCTCCACAGAATAAATCTCCATGGTAATTTATACCATAACATCCTGCCGCCATCTAATCCAGCTTTCGTGCAACCGGATCACGGATAAATTGAGCCAGGATCACCAAGATATCCCGGCTTAATCCCTTATCCTAGTTTTGTGCAATAGGCCCCAGGCAAGGATGGCTAAGGTTTAACAACAACCATATTTACAAAGATGGCAACATGAACAAGAACAACAGGAAGCACACAATATACAGTACCTGCAAACCGACAAGATATGCCCTCACAGCAACAGTGTCCCTAGTGGCAGAGCAGTGGAACAACATGCAACATAATACAAAGTGAACACAGCAGAATCAATTACACCTTAAATTTTAATATCACAACTTAGAGCATTTTGCAAGACATACACTTTACAGATAACTGGATCTTTAAGCATTCACAATAATGCAGCATTATGAATTTCAACTACATTATGCAAAGAGGCCTGTTCTTTCATCTCTCAGAGAAAAAAGTGGCGGAGCATCGCTCAGGTGCGTTCTGTCAGCAGGACAACTACGGTCCCAACGTCCACTGCATTGTTCAGTATGAGCACAGACAGGACAGAAATTGATTCGTCTGCAGTGCTTTTTTATGCTAAAACACATGACTCATCATATGGGCTTTTTGTTTTGTTTTGTTTTACTTTGCTGTTTCTGACTAGAGTGTTACCCTTTTCTTGACTTTGTTCTGGGGAAAGCAGAAGACACCGTTTTTAAATGCAGAACACTCAGCTGTTTCCTGTTTGTGCTAAGGGATGTCCATTTTCACATTTCTCTTCACAGTGTAAGGATTCCCTGGACAAGAGCTAGACAGTGGTTGCATTTTTTGATACTGTTCCTGGTGATAGTGTTAATGTTTACTGCCTACAAGTTTAAAACTACAATAAAATGTTTCATCATTTTGGAGACAAGTTTATTACCAAGCCCATCCAACAATATCATGACTTCTTCATTTGATGATGTGAGTATGTTGAGACACACACTGCCACAAATGATAGCTAACTGTTTAGCAGGACTTGTTTGCCACATTTTTAACCCTAGTATAGAACAAGGTGTTGTCCCATCACCATGGAAACAAGCCAAAATTATTCCTCTCCAAAGAACTACAGTGGGGGGTTTTAGTGCTATAAAATATCAGTCTGTTACCAATTCTTAGTAAAGTGTTGGAAAAGTGAATGAGCCAATGCAATTATATATATTTCTGATTTACAACATGCATATCATGAAGGACATTCAACTGCAACAGCATTAACCCTGATGATGGATGACTGCTTGAAATATATTGATGAAAGTAAATTAGTAGGAGCAGCATTATTAGCTTTTAGTTCAGCTTTTGATGTGCTGGACCAGGAACTGTTATTGAATAAAGAGAAAATGTACACTTTTTCACATTATACAATACAGTGGCATAATAGTTATTTGTCTGATAGGGAACAGTGTTTTTTCTTTATAATGGAGGCTTTTCAAATGTGAAAAGTAGCAATACCATAATGTAAAAATACTCTGTTACAAGTAAAAGTCCTGCAATCAAAATTGTTACTTAAGTAAAAGTACAAAAATATTAGGATAAAACATGCTTACCAAAAGTAAGTACCATAAGTACCAAAAGTAAAAGTACTCATTATGCAGAATGGCACAGTTCACATGAATGTATATCATATTGTGGACTATAATTATTGATGATTTATTGCATACACCACATTTAATGTTGAGGCTGGTAAATGTAGAACTAATTACTAAGTTTTCCTTACATGTTTATACTTTGAAGTACTTTACATACTGCTGGGTAGCTTGTAAAATTCCCACCAGGGATCAATACATTTTGATGTTTGTACTATATTTTGTTTAATTAATCTCAGTCTGAAAGGTAACTAGTAACTAGAGTTACCAAATACATGTAGTGAGTAAAATGTGCAATATTTGCCTCTAAAATGTAGTGAAGTTGAAGTATGTAAGTATCAGAAAATGACAATACTCAAGAAAGTACAAAGACCTAAAAATGTTACTTAAGTAGAGTACTTGAGTAAATGTACCTAGTCACTTTCCATCTCTGTGTACAGTAATATAATGATGGAGTGGACCCCACTCCAGGGGATCCAAATAAATAAACAGTAAACATGTAGGTAAAGTGCACATTTGCATATCTGGTACACCTGCTGTTCTGGGCACATAAATGCAGAATGTGCAAACAATCAGTCAAATTTGTGCAAATAAATAACGCAATTCAACATATCATAATCAAACCATACTTTGTCTGTTTATATGAAGCTAATATTAGGGTGTAGATAAGTTAACAAGAAAAAGGATAAATCCTGTACTACCAAGAGGCAAATCTCAAAACACACTGACCTCCTTTGTTTACACAGCTCTCAGATTCAGCATCCCAGTTCTTTGTGGCATACCCGCACCACTACAGTTTCATATTGGATGAACCAAACAGATGTCGGCAGGAAAGCCCATTCTTGGTTCTTATGATCCCAGTCGCACCCCATGAGAGAGAGGCCCGTGACAGAATCCGCAACACATGGGGCAATCAAACCACAGTGCTGGGCCAAGTGGTCAGCCATTACTTCCTGCTGGGACTGTCCAGAGAGGACGATGGGAAAGAGAAGCTTCAGGAGCAAGTGAGTGGATTAATTTTGGAAATGACTGAGTTCATTTTCACTGTCTCTTCCAATTGTGAAAAAAACATTTCATTGTAAGAAGACAGTAAAAATATTCCAAGGGTTCACTGGGGGGAAATACCAACCACATTTCTGTTCCACATCTTTAAAAAAATTAATATGTCAAAATAACTTGAGCCACAGCAGAGGCTTCAAAAGACAAATCTCACAAGGTAAACAGAACAGAGAATGGAATGAATGGGCAGCCAAATGAAATGCACGATGGAGAGCCGAAAAACTGCATTTTTACACAGAGCACAGTGACGAGAGATTTGTTAAATTGCTTTTGCCACATTCTTAAGACAGATGCACTAAATATGGCCTAATCAGTATTTTCATATTTAAATAGAATGAAATAATGATGTAGAAAGTGGTTCTATGTCCACATCTGTGTTAGATTCTTTTTGTAGAAAGGCCTGATCAACATGAAAATGGCTAAATCTATTCTTCTAATCCATTGTTTCAATTGGTAAATGAAAAAACTGGGCTGTGGTTACTCTGTGGAGTGATAGCCCTCTGTGTCCTCCCACAGACGAGGTTAGTGACTACTGTATATGGTAAATATGCTGAATCAGTTATAGCACTGATAGTCTCCTATCTGTCTTCTTGTAGGTGTTACAAGAAAGCCAGATACATCAGGACATTATCCAGAGTAACTTCTTGGATAGCTACAACAACCTGACCATTAAAACCATGGTCATGTTTGAATGGCTCAGCTCCCATTGCCCCACCACCTCCTATGCCATGAAAGTCGACTCAGACATATTCCTTAATGTCCACAAGCTCACTGACATGCTTTTGACAGCCCCCCGACATCTCTACATGACAGGATTAGTGATAAGGTGTGGTGTTGTTGTTCAAGACGAAAGCTCAAAGTGGTATCTGCCTGGTTCAGCCTTCCCAGAGGGCTATTACCCACCATATGTCATGGGTCTGGGCTATGTGTTCTCAATGGATCTACCCCAAAAGATAGTGGAGGCATCTCTGCATGTTAAAGCTGTTTACATTGAAGATGTGTACGTGGGACTGTGTATGAGTTACCTTGGAATCGAACTGACAGATCCTCCTCATGCTGGACTGTTTAGGGCAATGATACCTTATTTTACATACAACTGTTACTGGACCTCTGTCATTGCAGTGATTCTACAAGACTCACAGCAGCTTTCAGATGTATGGAGAGTATATCAGACTCAAGTACAAAGTGGTTGTTGAAAACCTCTGTCTGTACCTTACAAAAATTGCAACAGTTTTAATGTGTAATGTTGGACCATACGACTGCATAGCCCAGTTGTGTAATTCAGCAGTTGCAACACATATTTGTTTACACTATAAGTTACTTCCTCTGATATATTTTTCATCTGTGAAGTTTGAGCTTATGCTCTGATTCTAAGATGGAGATTGTGAGACTGAGTACTGCATTTTTAATTGGTGAAAACTCAACTAAACTGTTATTTACATAGCACTTAAAAACAACTAAAATTTGATCAAAGTGCTTTACCTGCACCTGGTAAGGATAACAATGTAATACCATAAATATAACAGTCAACATTAAACATTGACAACATAAGGACAAATAAAAGTGACCAACACCAATAAAACTGGTAAAACTCTACTAAGAACTGAAAGCCAAATTTAAAAAGTAAGTCTTTAGTTTGGATTTAAAGAGAGCGAGATCAGTGATAGAGCGAAGTTCAGTTAGAAGAGTGTTCCACAATTTAGGAACAGCTACAGCAAAAGCACTTACATCTAGATCTGGGGACTTCTAAAAGGAGCTGGCCAGATGACCTAAGTGCTCAGTCATATCAGCAAAATTGTAATAATTCTATTAAATAAATAAGGGCCAGGCAGACATCAGAAGTTTAAAATCTTTTCTAACATGCACTAGTAAGAAGCAAGAGACTAAAGAATAGGCATGATATGATTGCATCTAGGTATGTTCATTAAAAGCCAAGCAGCAGCATTTTGTGAAAGTTGGAGGCAGTAAAGAGCAGACTAACTCCAACATAATGTGCATTTACAGTAATCTAGTCTGGAACTGATGAAGCCATGAATCGCCTTATCAAGATTATTTAGACTGAGGAAGGGTTTTATCATAGCCAATAGTTGAATCTGGGAAAAACTCACCTTTTCAACAGAACTGATCTGTTTGTCTTATGTCAAATCCATATCAAATATCACACCCAGATTCTTTATATCTGAATCTAAGTTAGAGGCTAGAGGCCATGCATTTAGGCCTGTCTGAGGTGCAGAAGATGTGATGTATTCAGTTAAAAAGAAAATGTTTTGTGACAGCCAATGTTTAATGGCACCCAGACATTCAAACAGTGATAGTAATGGATTACTTTATCTCAACTTCAGAGGCAGATCAATTTGCAAGTCATCTGCATAACAATGAAGGGAGAAAGTGTAATCAACCCCAAGGGTAATATAACTATATAATGAAAATGGACAGGGCCGAGAACAGAGCCCTGCAGCACCCCATGGGAAAAAGAAGCACAGGAGGAAGAAACATTGCAGAGACACTGCTGTTGCTCAAATATGATTTGAACCATTTAACAGCAGTGCCCCAGATCCCTACAGACCTATTAGGACAGGAAAAAAGGACATCCACAGTATCAAAAGGCACTGTAAGGTCCAAGAGTACCAGCATGATAGGGTTCTTAGTATCAACTGTCAACATAATGTCATTGCTAACTTTTACCAAAGCTGACAATACTGCGGTGAAATCTAAAACAATCTTTTCTAAAACTTTTGAATGAAATAGCAAGTGTGAGACAGGCCTATAACTAGATAGAACTGATAAGTCAAGTTGGGTCAAACAAGGTGTTGTAGTTGCCTGCAAACATGTTACTGCTCTGTTTTGATAGCTAAAGTTAGCAAGCTATTTCAGAGAAGGTACCTACAGCAGCATTTGTTCTCAAATGGAGACTGTTTTAGGCCAGGAAACTACCACCAGTAGTATAATATTTGAATTTTAAAAGCTTCAGTTACTTTTTATACCATTATTTTCCTTGCTTATTTAAATTTTACACCTATATTCATGATTGTCAAGAACTACTGAGTAGGAACTGTCTGCTAGAACTTTGCAGAGACATAATGGCTGCATCTTTACTTAACCAGATGGCCTGTTTTGCATCTTCACATAGGCCCACTTAGCATTTTACAAGTTCTGCTTTGTCATATATTTTGCAGAAACAGGGGGCCTACAACCTGAGATGATCACTTGGCTAAAACATGTGTGGATGCCAGCATAGCAGATGCTGGTATGTCATTATGTTTAAGGTCACTTCACTCTGAATTTAATGTATGTTCAAAGATTTAAAGGATCACTTCACACTAAGATTGATGTTTTGATTTTTTTTAAAAACACCCACAATGTGTAACTCATAAATGTATGGTCTCAGGACCTGTAATTATTTTGTGCACTACTTATCAGCTAGCTTTAATGAGTCGTGAGCAAGCTTATCAGTTCAGCTTGCATAGCTTGCAGAAGTTACTTCCAGCACTCATAAATGTGTCTTGTGTGAGAAGGAAAAGGGAGTGCGGCACCCAGGCACCTGGCGGCCCCACTCAGTATCAAGGTCTTGCTGTCCTTTTGCTGTAGCAAGGCAGCTGGGGAAGTCGTTATAATGTAAGATAACAGTATGAGTTTCAATGGATGTGTATTGTACTACTTGGGTATAAAGGAACTGCCCCTTTTGCCAGTGACTCAGAGAACTCAGAGCACTCTGTGCATTTCTGCCAAGTTGTGTATGATTTCTCTCCATGCATGAAATAAAGAATCATTTGAAGCTACTCTTCAGTCTCCAGACATCTTCTTTGGGTCCTGCCTTAAGTCCCCTACCACAGTAGTATTTTCACAAGGTCTGCTTTGTCCTGTAATAGCCTTTTTTGAGAAACAGTTCCTTCGGTGTCATATTTGATGATTTTATCTCCGACACAACCCATCTTATTGCTGGCATTCCTCAAGGGTCGACCTTGGCACTCTTACTTTTCTCTTTATTATATGTCACTGCTTGTGTCAGTTATATCCAGGCACAATGTTCATTTCCATTTCTACGCGGATGACATTCTGATTTATATGCCATTGGTATTATCCGACCCAAATGCACTTACTCCATTGTATGACTGTATTCGGGATATCAAGAATTGGCTTGCCCAGAATTTTCTTCATTTAAATGAGAATAAGACCGAATATATCGTTATCAGCCCCGAACCAGCCGCAGGTGTACCCAGTCTCTTGGCCCCTGCACCCGTATTCACAGGCATGGTAAGAAAGACCAGTTTCTTTCACCTTAGACTTTTAACGAAGGTTAAGCCCTTCTTACCCCAAGGAGACCTAGAAAAAGCAATTCATGCTTTTATTACTTCGCGATTAGACTATTGCAATGCCCTTTACGCTGGTATATTGCAATTTTCGTTGAGGAAACTTCAACTGGTCTAAAATGCGGCGGCCCGGCTATTGTGCAACACTCCCAGGTGTGCCCATATTACTCCTGTTCTTCGCATGTCATATTGGTTGCCTGAACATTTTAGAATTGAGTTTAAGATTCTTTTATTTGTTTTTAAAGCCTTATATGGCCTTGCTCCACTTTATCTGTCTGAACCTTTTAATTCTAACCCGGTTCTTTTATCTGAAGGCCCCAAGAAGTAACACTCAGGATACAGAAATCAGCTTTAAGTAGATTTATTTTCTTCTGGTTAGATGCAGAGTTATTACAGCGCTGGGCCCTGAGAGATGGCAAGTCTCCAAGAGCATCGATCATCACCAAACGTTTACATTTATCTTCTCGGGCTGGGACTGCCCTGTACATGGGTGGTACAATATACGTCAATATTCTAGAATGTTCATATAGGCAATATGTGTGTGTGTTGTTATCTTCTGTGTTCAGGCTTTTTTCCAAAGATGGACATGCAGTAGCTGTGTGCCCCTTACTTCCTCAATTCTGTGACAGAAAAAACCCCTTACACATAGTTCAGACATGGGTGAAAAGTTCAAGCTGCTATACTTCCACATCTGTAAAATAGCATACGTTAACAGGGTCTTATCTTATAGCTGACATGACACTTATCTAATGCAATCTGCTCTTGCACAACCATCTAAGAAAATAAGTGACACTACAAGTTGAACTTCAGCTGAAAATTATAACTTTTATGCATGTATAATAGCAAGGTTAATACTGGTACATGGGATTGCTAATAAAACATAAACAGTCATAATCAACTTTATCATTATAAATGCAAAGTAATACTAACAGTAAATAAAACAACTGCAACTCCTGAAATCCAATTCTAACAAACCTCTATCCATTTATGTTCCTTGTAGAGCTCTGCGCTCTTCTAAAAACTTGTCCTTAGTGTTTCCATGGTCCCGATCTAAGAAATGGGGTGACCGCGCATTTGCTGTTTATGGCCCCAGACTCTGGAGCTCACTACCACTTCAGATTAGGTCTATTACTGAGTTAGCGGTTTTTAAATCTACATTAAAAATGCACCTTTTTAAACAGGCTTTTGCTCTTTAATTTATCTGTTTAAATGGCATTGTGTATATGTTTTTCTATATTTTTTGACTGTTTAATATTGGTTGATTGTTTTAGTCTATAGATATGTTTTTACTGTGCAGCACTTTGGGCCCGTCCTGAGTTGTAAAGTGCTATATAAATGACACTATTATTATTATTATTACACAGACAGGGTGTCTGCAGCTGTAGACAACCAGTTGTCCGGTATTCATTGCTAGTTACCACCTGATATCACAACACTCACACACCCGATTTCTAGCACATTTCAGTAAGCTGGCATGGGCAGAGATTGGCCTGCTCACACCAAGGGCCAATAGTATTAGGATGCGTGTAAAGCCCAACCTCTGTATGGGGCGGCCTCCACCCAAGAAGATAAATGTGACCACAAATAGCTCTGGGCTCTTTGGGGACAGTTCCTGCAGAAGTTCCGTCACTCTGAACCCAGCGCTGCTTTGCCTTACACGTGCCCAGACTGAGTAAATTTTCTGTTTTTATACAGTTCTCTCCTGTCTTCTCTCGTGCTTCCAACTAAAGAACTGTGTCTTACAGTAGTTAGCTCTAAATGTATAGATAGGATTGTAATGCAGTTAACTGGGCATCAGAGGCTACATGTAGTGTTTGTTTTACCAATATGGAATAAAGCTTGTGCTTTGAAAGGAGACACTGGCCTCCCTCTCCACTTTTAAGGCT